AAAAAAGAATAAGATAAGACTATAAGAGCGAGAAGCAATTTAAATATGTTCAGGGACCATTTTCATCTCCAGAATTAAGGATTATTTTGATGTTACATCATTGCCTTTTCTCTTTTACTTTCCTTTTTAGTTTTATTTTAGGATTCCCTATTTTTAATGTTCATACAGAGATTTCTTTAACTGAAATACCGAATAGTTTCTTTGGTGTGAAAAACTATAATAGTACACAGGATCCTAATGAGATAATTAATAATGTGAAATAGGAAGTAAAGGGCTAAAGGTGTAGGGAAAGTGGGAAGGGTGGGGGAAAGGTAATAAGGGAGAGGAAAAAAATATGAGAAACTGAAAAAATGGAAATAAAGTGTTTGTAAATGGGGAGGGGAGGAGGGGGTGAAGGAAGGGCAGGGACAAGAGGAAAAAATGAGAATCAAGACCTATTATTAAAGGTACAGAATCCCAATGATGAATGTAATTGTATTGTATACCTAGATTGTACCAATAAACTCAATAGAAAGAAAGAAAGAAAGAAAGAAAGAAAGAAAGAAAGAAAGAAAGAAAGAAATGCAATGCACTATATTAACAGAACCAAAGGGAAAAAAACATATGATTATCTCAATAGGTGCAGAAAGTGTTCAACAAAAATCCAACACACTTATGATTTTTTAAAAAACTTGTAGGGCCAGGTATTTAGCTCAGTGATTCTGATGCGTGCCTTGCAAGCGCAAGGTCCCAAGTTCGATCTCCTATACAAAAAACAAACAAATAAACAAAAAAAGACTTGTAAAAAATTAGAATAGGCAGTCTCTATCTCAACCTGATAAAAGCTATCTATGAAAAGCCAACAGCCGGGCTGGAGTTTTAGCTCAGTGGTTCTGCCACCTGCTTTGCAAGCACAAGGTCCTGAGTTTGATCCCTGGTACCAAAAAAATAAATAAATAAATAATAATAAAAACCAACAACCAATATCACAATTTCATGTGACATTGGAGAGGGTCTGATGTAGAGGATAAGAATTCAGCTTATGAGCCATACATCCTGAATCATCCCTTGGTTTATTCACCTCTCTCTTCAGGCTGAAATGTGTGGGGATGTGGACAGAGCTGATTCAGCCATCCAGTCAGCCAAGGGCCACCTTACTTAGCTGACAGACAACCCACAGCATGTTCAACAATACTGGCAGAGCCAATTACTCAGACTCCTGCTTATTGTTAAGTGGCATAGGTGTTTTGTGGATATTTTTATTTGGCATTATTGTGGTCACAGATAATGTATACCATAACAAAAGTACTGTATTAAAAATAAGTTTCTCCCTTTATCCCTTTAGATTCTTCATAAATGGTGCTGATAAAGAAAAATCAATGTTTAAAACTTTCATGAAGGGCCAAGGATTTAGCTCAGTGGTGCCAACACCTGCCTCACAAGCACAAGGTCCAGAGTTCAATCCGCAGTACAATCACAAGCACAAGGTCCAGAGTTCAATCCCCAGTACAAAAAAAAATTCTTTTCATGAAAATTTTCCTAGAATGTGATGAGGAGACATTCTGCTTAGGGTTTCACCTTCACCTCTGTCCTCCCTCTTCAGATTTGTCACTTTATTGGGCATAGTTGCATTGAA